CTCCTGCCGCACCTTTGATCTTTGCCTTTGATCTTTGGCAGTGTCCTATGGTCTCCACGTCCCTCTCTGCTCTCGGCTTGGAGGTAGGTTTTGGTCCTTGGTGGCGTCCCCACCACAGGCCCCTGGCCAATCAGAGGTGTGGGGGCCCCACCATGATAAACCCATTAAAATGGCTGGGGGCCTGCGATCTGCCTGCAAAATTGACTGGTCCTCACCTCGAGTTGGGTAGACCCCTGTGTATAAGAGAGATTGCTCCTTAGAAAAAGCCCAATCCATTTAACTACGTCTGTGCAACTTATTATATATCACCTGGAATGCCTTGTGCCGTCCTTCCTTCATCACTTTCTTTAATCCTTTTGTCCCCAATTTTTGTAACATAAATGTTTACAGCATAAACTCATAATACAAACTTTGTTATGCGTGACACCTTAAACTAATTATGCCAATGGGATTTAAGAAGTGTGCCGTACTTTTCATCATTGCTGCTGTTTGCTTTTCAGTTCACTCATCTCAGAAACGAGAACAGGATATTCAGTTGTACTTTCTGATTCCTGTGCATTAGAAGCACTGTGCTGTCAACTCGATGGGGTCAAAGTTAAATCTCAACCAAAACTTGCTTTACCTGTAACAAATACTAATTAGGATCATGTTTAGTGATTATTGGTTATTTAGAAATATACGGCCTGGTTTGAAATGATGGGCTACGCCAGTAGTTCTCAAATGGGGTGCAAGGTTGCTGCCATGCCAGTGCTGGTGCAGGCAGGTGAAAGTGTTCTGCATGCCTCTGTTTCTAGGAGAGACATGCGGGGTGGATGGGGAAGTGGTTCTGCCAGAGGTAGGTACTTACTCCTGCCTGTGTTAGGTTTTGCTCCCCTCCTCGTTTGGCTGGCAGCTTGTAAGTAGGAAATGTAGGCAGCAACAGATGGAGTGACTCTTTTGGTGTAGGGCACAACCACACTTGGCTTCTAGAAAACCTACATTTCCTATTTACCACCTCCCAGCTGATGGAGAGGGGAGTGTAACCTAATGTTGGCAGGAGCACTCACTTCTGCTGCAGCTGCTTCTCTATCCAGCTGCATGTGTTCCTCCTGGAAACAGAGGCATGTGGGGCAGCTCCACCTGGTGGCACTGGCAACCTGGAAGTAAACTAGGTAAGCTGGGACTTTACAGTGGTTCTCAACTGGCATACCAACAAATTCAGGAAAGTTATAGGGAGCTGCCTTGAGCTTGAAAGGCTGAGAATCACTGGATTAAGCTGACCTGATAACATTGCCTTTAAAACTCTAGAAGAAATTTAAAGGGAAAAATTATCATCAAGACAGCATGCTATTTGAATGTGTGTATTGTGCACTTCATTAGATCCTTTTAATATATTTTCCCTTTACTGGGACATCTACTTTCTGAATTCATATGCAATTTATAGTATAAGATTGTACCAAACAATCTCACTACCTGGTGTATGTGATAAAGAAGGTTGTCGTGGAAACTTAACTAGTCTAATTAATAGAGCTGAGTGAATAATTTGTTTCAAATAGTTTATTCAACAAATATATACTCTTCTGTTTATTAGTTGTGCATATCTTGTGATTTTCTTATTTATTTTGTTTCTTATTTCTGTTGATTGGCAAAGAATTCATATCGGAAGATAAGAGCCAAAGAGGCTGTACTTAGTGAAGTGGTTTAACTAGGTTGGAGAGTTGACATATCAGGGATACAGAAAATAAATGTTCACAGCGAAAGCCTTGGCATCAAGATCAGCAGTGCCAGTCCACAGCACCTGTCTGAAACTGGACATTGCATGCTTCTGACAGTTCATTGTTGAATATGTCAGGATAAAAAGTGACCTTCCACAATGATGTGTCGTGGCGCACCTCGCTGCCCCGCTCCTAGAGAGGGGAGAACTGCTGGGGAAAAGCCTCAGCAGAGATAATGAGCACAGCTGCAGGTTGCTAGGGCAACTAATGAGAGTCAGTTGATCCTGAGGGGACAGGGCCTGGCCCCTATAAAGCCTAGAGCCAAGGCCAGGCTAGTAGTTCCCTGCTAGCAGCCAGAGGGGCAGGAGCTCCTGGAGTTAGGATGCGGAGAGAAGCCTAACAGCAAGTACCGCTCGAGCGGAGTTAAGCAATGATGTTAAGTTATAGCCAGGCGGCTTTGGGTTGTGTTTGAGTTATAGCCAGGAGGCTTGAAGTTGTGTTTGTATTACACCGGTGGTTTGGGTGAGGCTATAAGGGGTTGGAGGAGGCCTCATTGGGGGACTCACAAGGGAGTGTGAGGACCCTGGCGCCAGTAAGGGCGCAACTTACAGGGTGCATAGACCCCAGGCCCAGAGAGGGGCGTTTAGAGAAGCCCCAGCATGGGCACGACGAGCCCCAGGAGGGGGCACTACTAGGAAGCCTGAGCGTGGGCGTGGTGAGCCCCAGGAAGGGGGAGCGCACTTCAGAGAAGCCCAGTGTGGGCACAGTGAGCCCCAGAGAAGGGGCGGCACTATTAAGAAGCCCAGGGTGGGCACAACAAGCCCGAGAGGGGCAATATGTGAGAAGCCCGAGAGGGACATAGCGAGCCTGGTAACAGGCTAGCAGTGCGGAAAACCCAGGGTAGGGGCAGGGTGCTGCGGTGGACCCAGAACAAAAGGGGTTAGCAGCACAGCGCCCCAGAGAAGGGCAGTGCTGCGGTGGTCCCCAGGAAAAGGGGATAGCGGCACAATGCGCCCGGCAAACGAGAGGTTAGCAGTGTGGTGGGCCTAAAAGACCGGTGGCTCGAGAGGACGTCCCAAAGTGGACTAGATTATTTTAGAGAAGGCCCAGAGTGGGCCTCAAGAGTCCCAAAGAGAGGGGCGGTGTTACTAAGAGTACCAGTGAGGGGCTGGTACGTATAGTGAGACACACCAACGTCTATCACATCAGCGAGGCTTGGGGCATGGTATTAGGGGTTGGTAGGAGCCACGCGTAGCCCATAAGGCTAGGGTGCCTGGGGAGCACCCATCATACCGGGAGACCCCCAGGGGGTCCGGGAACACCCGGGGACAGAGGTCCCAGCTATCCGTGCCCAGGGAGTCGTAAGGCAGCCTCCCAACATATACTAAACAGCAAAGACGTGGCGGGCGAGAATCGAGGGTGCCCTTGGGCCAAATTGGCACGGAGAGAGGGCCTTAAGGAGATCACGGCCCTCCTATAGGACCCCGCTGTGACAGATGGAAGATGACAACAGTTAACAAAGTACATTTCTGTTTTGCAGGTATTAGTAAAAGTTTAAATTACCATTTTTGGCCAGGTCTAGATTATAGAAAGTTTAATAAATACTTACCAGTAGTTGTTCTTGTAGCTTGTTTTAATCAAGCAAGCAACTGCAGTGCAGGCAGATATTTTAGTAGAGAAATCAAATGATACAAGATTCAGCCACCTTGGTTTTGTACTGTAATATCTGACTGTAAGCAGGTTTTCCTCTCGGTACATGATAGTCTTTTCTTTTGCCTAACAACATGCATAAAATTATTAGCACTATTAATTATTAGTGATCATTAAATGTGTTGTATTGACAGCTCTAGAAATAGAACTTATCCATTTATATACTTATAACTGGGCTATATGAATGCTTCAGACGTTTGAGGTATTTGAAAGCAGTGAATTCCATATGTGTTTTGTTTTTTCAGGGAGATATTTTTGTCTATTTCTGGATTTCTGCAATGCTCCCCATGTGTCAGTGATTGTGTGATATTTTTATCCTTCTATTCCTACCCTTTGCTCTGCTGCTTTCAGTTGTGTCATTTGTGGGCAGTGTCTGTGCTAGATTTAAAAAAATTCTACCAGTGTGGATCCCTAGGGATTAGCAATTGTGGAAGCTCAGCTATGGTCTTCACCAAAGTGTCCTTTAATCCTGCTCAAAGAAAATATAGCTATCATGGTGGGTAAATCTTGGAAAGGCTTTCAGGATTTTGAAGCACCCAGGCAGTTGGGTTAAACTTGCCAAAAATGTATAAAAAATAAAACATCAAAGAAGTAGGTCTAATCTATGCTAGAAAGGGTCTGTCAGTATAATGTTTCTGGTGTCACTGAATCAGGAAATCATCTTAGTGGAGATGCAGCTTGTTCTTGACAGTGCAGCACATACCAGTTCCTTGAATGATATAAGTTATCCTGGTGAAAGCACTCTTTTTGGCAGCATGAGTATATATGTGCTAAGGTTTATTGCTGATATAAACTTTCATAAAAAACACATGCTGAACTGACATCATGCTAGCACAAATTTCTGGCTTAGATTTGTCGTAGTTTACTAATAACACAGGTTTGAGGCTCTAAACTGAACATAGAGATGCTAAATCACTGACAGGACAAACGTGAGCCTGGGGGCAGGGGCAGGGCTGAGTGGCCAACATCCTTTCACTAATGCATACCTTTATCTCCATATGCAAGTAACAATTTGTCTCCTTACTTCTTCTGTTTCAAATTAGTCAGTTAACCCCATAGGTTATGTGAATCAACATGAACAGAATTTGTCCTGAAAATGTCAGAATCTCCATCTATACTCCAATTTGTGGTTGTGCTTTTCTCACCACTGCATGGTACCAGGTGGGTTCTAAATCATATAGGTAATTACTTATTGATTCTTACTAATCCTTTGAGACAGATGACCTAGAAGATTATTAGTTCAGATCTTACATTAATGTGAACTTTTTCAAAACCATAGCATGTCCCTAGATAGTCTTTGAAAAGGCATTGCATGAAGTGATCTCATCCCGAGGCCTACTAACATTTTAGCTACTTCTTGCAAAATATCTGTCTTAGCCAAAAAAGCAGAAAATATTCCTTTTTCTATATCTTATTCCTGACAAAACTATTTGCTTAATAGAAAAATATATTATACCGAGTAAAATATTTCTGTAAAGTACTTAAAGTATATTTTATTGGAGGTTATAAATGTATTTGGAAGACCTATGGTATAATAGGATGTTTTATATATATACAAACTTTTGAGAAGCTATTTTTAATACCCCATTGTAACAGGGCACATGTTTTTGGGCCGTATTATGATCCAGGCTGTCCTGCCAGACCAGAGCCTGCAAAGAAACTTACTGTTGGACCCTGGGACAACAGCGCAATAACCGGAGCTGTGCAGCTGGTAACCCAAGGATGAATGCATTCCCTCTGGTCTGTCCCAGCTGCTGTGGGCCATTGGGAGTTCCGCCAGAAGCCAAAAGGGGCCACTAGCACAATGAACTTCCCTGGAGAGGGGAAGCACAAGAGGAGCTGAGCTCATTCAAACCATGCAGAGGCCTGGAGATAGTGCTGGAAGCCAGGGACAAAGCTGGACCAGGGGACAACAAACCCCTCCACAAGAGAAGCGGCACAGAGCCACAGCGGAGGAAAAGAGCTTCCCGGACCAGTAAGTCAAAAAAATTCAAAGTGCTTGCTTACAGGGATGATAGATTTGGGTAATTGGTAGGGGAGCCAACGAGTGAAGTGACCTGTCCACAGAAGGGTTAATGAGGAATGGGAACGTGATGAACTTCCCTGTTGTTGAAGTATAAATAAGGATTGACGGATGACCAACAAGTAGATTAATGAAATATAAAAGAATTGATTAATAAAATGCCGATAAACTTGTTAATTGATTGAATGTAAATAAGGCTTAATTACATGATGGTATGTGCTAATTCATGGAATATAAACAATGACCAATTGAATGAGAATAAACTCATTAATGATAGGAGATAAATGAAGATCAATAGAATGATGATAAATGTGTCTGGCAACACAGTATAAATAAAGGCCAAGTTATTAGGTGGACCAGTGGTGATGCACTTACTAACAAAGGAATTAAAAGATAATTAACGCGTGGCATGAGCTCACAAGTATCAGATTACTAACCACTGGCTCCTGTAGACAAGAGACCAGAATGACTGGTCAGCAGAGGATGAGACTCTGAAGGGCTAGGGACAGACATTCAGAAAGCCACATCCTGAACTGATTCAACCTTTTCAGGTTAGTCTAACCTGCCTAGGCTGAACTGGCTTGTAAATGAACAAACATGCTCTCTGCACTGAGGCAATGTGGGCATATTTAATTACCCCTCCCTGTGCCACCAGCAGGGACTGGAGCCAGGTCTGCCTGTACTCCCCCCTTTGCTCCCTACCCAGAATAGACCTCTGGCTGTCCCCTCCGCCAGAGGGAGGAGGAATAACCCGTTCCTGCCTGGCCATGCCTCCTCCCTCCTGCTGCAGCAAGAGGTGGCAGGGCCCTTATTAGGGGCAGCAGCCCCTGTCATACTGCAGGGGAGTGTGAGCCCCTTCTCAGTGAGGGGCTACGCTGCAGGGCTGGCAGAGCTGCAGCCGGCTGCACGTGGCAGTGCCAGAATCCTGAGCGAGCCAGAGCCTAGCAAGGTCCCTGCAGCGCTCCACAGTGCAGCCGCCCCTGCTGGGAAGGGGTTCTTGCTCTGAGAGGCCGTGACGGGCAGCAGCCCGTCACGGTTACTCACTGGTTGCTGCTCCAGCTGCTGGGCAGGGCCAGGCCCAGCCCCCTGCCACTGTTTTAGAGACTATACAGCATTTAGTCAGACTGATGGTACTTTGTAACCAGGCAAAGCTAATATATTTTAAACTCTTTTCTTGAAGAATGGAAATTGTCACACATCCTAGTATATACTAATAATCTGAAGTAAGTACTAAAGAAACCTCTGATACATGCTCATCATCTCACCCTGTGCTCTTCTTTCTAAGCAAGTTAATTTCAGAGCTATTGGGAAAAGGTCTGTGTCTCACAGCGGCTCCAGAGTTTGTTTTTTTTTAAATGAAACTGTAGTCATAGAAGCAATATCATCAAACTATGTCAGATGTTCCTTGTGCTGATCCTAGTCTGATGCTATTAAGTAACTGTAAACTACCTTTGAAGAGTATGGCCCTGGATGGGCTACCTAGAGCAGTGATTCTCAAACAGGGTACAGTAGAGCCCTGGCATGCCCTGAGAGCCTTCAGACCCAAATCTATAGGTCACTTGTTCTTAACCTTTTAGATTTGAGGCACCCCTCAGAAAATACTAGCTCTTAGTTTTTACTCTTTTTTTTGACTGTGGAAAATAATAGAGGAATTGTTTTGTTGCAAAGAACTAAGAAAAACCACAACAGGTCAGAATTTTTTTAACGTTATAGATTCCTATGTGAGAACTCTGGGTTTACCTTGTGAATCATGTGTGTATACCTAACAGTGCTAACATTGTGCAGCACCCTTAAAAGGATCTCACCGTACCCCACACTGATTGAGGATCAATGCGATAGAGACTCATGGTTTTGAAGCCAGAGGCCCAGATTAACTTGCTACCACTGACAACCCAGGCAAAGGGATCACAGTACATAGTGTGTGAGATTTGGAAAACCATATGCTTCCAAGTAATATTTCCATAAGTGAGTAATACTTTTCACTTGATTTCAATAGAGCAACTTCCACAAAGTTTATAGATCAATAACAATTGTAGGATTTGGCTTTGGGTGTCTTTAAGGCAAAACTTTGAGTGCCAGGAGCAGTGCGCACATAATCAAACACACTCAATAAGGGCAAGATGGGGAGACATAACTGATCCTATTGTTGTCAGGTGGAATTTTTTCAAAGCACTTAATTGAGTTAAAGGTACTGGTTTCAATGACTTTCAATGAGCCTTGTTCTAATTTGCTTAGGTGCCTTTGTAAATCTCCGTGTCCTCATGAGTGGTAAGAATGCAAACTGCGTGAATAGCTTTTTTAAAGGTTTCAAGTGCCCTTCCTACCATAATGAATTGTTATATAGTGCCCAGAGGACCCATTAGGATTGAGGGCTATTGCCCAGGCTCTTTGTATGCATACCATATAATAAGAGGCAGTCCACTGCCCAAGGAGTTTATAGTCTATATTAGGAAAAGACACAACTTGTGAATATAGCAAGTCATGGGGAAAAGATGGGGTCGAGGAGAGGAAGCTGGTAAATGCAATAGGGGCATGGTGTTCCAGAGACTAATTATGTGCATAATTTGCAAGTTGAGTCTATTTTTAGATCATTAGGAGATTTCCAATTAAAGCTTAATATACATTGGCATAAATATAGCAAGTAGTATTTCTTGCCCTGTCCCTTTAAGCATCTCTCTTTTTTGTACTTCAAACCATTCATTGCAATCACCATAATATTTTATTCTTGAGCTATTAGGTATGAAACAATTAAGCATCCTCTCCGATAGTTCTGTTTTTAGTACAATCTAACTCAGGAGTCAGTAAAATCAAACGAATGTAGGTTCTAGTTTTCCACTGTTTTTATCTCTAAATGGATAATCTATGAAGTAACCTGGTAGAATGAAATATCAGAGAGGCTGTCATGAATTATACAGTGGACCTTAAGTGGAAGGTCTGAGTCTGCTATGCTTTGTGCATCTTGTGTACTAGCTAGTCAGGCCAAAGCTATATCTATAACTCTTCCATTTTTAGTGGTTCTTTAATGTGAGGCTTTAACTGCACCTATCTGACAGCAGTATTCCTTTCACTTCTGTGGAAAGAGCAGAGGTTTCCTACTTAAACTGAATGCTTAACATATATCAGTTGTAGGAGGGGAAAAGCATGGTAGATAAAGGAATTAAACATTTTTCTAGTAGTATGAAATACAGTTATTTTTAAACAAAGTTATTTATTTGCTATAGTTCATCCAGAAATCAGCTGTGAATGTATCAAAAGTTTGGAAAATTAGGGGAACTAAGGGTGTTTATAGACATGCTCTGGGAGTGGCGGGGGGCGCTTTAACTAGAGTGACTCTCAGAGCCACTTATTAAAGTGCCCAGAGCATCATGTGTATCAGCAGCCCCATGCTGAAAAATTGTGGTGGGGGCACTTTAACTAAAGCTCAACTGAGCTGCCATGTTTCAGTGTAGGGACACTGACACATGCAACTCTGGAGTCTGCCGGAGTGCAGTAGTTACCACCTTCCAGCAGACTTAATCAATTGAGTCTGCTCTGATACATTGTAATTACACTGTGTCAGAGCAGCCTCTCTGCATATGTGTAGGTGCCCTATATATTCAGTTAGGTTCTATAAAGCTCCTTTGATCAAACTTGCTGTTGTCTTTTTTTTTTTTTATTTGGATTCATGCCTTGTTTACAAAGCACACACATGGCGACTTGTATGGACAAGATAAGGCTGTAGCTTTCTGGGTGGGCTATATCTTTTCCCTTCCCTTTCTTTTAGGGAAAGCTTCCAGAAATCCACAAGTAATTATTCAACATACGTGAAGGGGGAAAAAAAGACAGATTACTGAAATAATGGTATTATAGTGCTAGATGAAATAGAGTCTCAGTTCCAGGGGGATGGGGTAAAATTTACCAGCAAGTGAGAGTGATGCAGGAAAAAGCAGAATTCTCCACAGAAACTATGGCACATGAAGGTGAGGCCACAGGAGACAGGACAAGAAGTAAGGATTTTAAATTGCAGCAAGGGGAATTTAGGTTGAATATTAGGAAGGACTTTTTCACTGTAAAAGTGGTTAAGCATTGAAACAGATTACCTACAGAGGTTGTTGGACCTCCATTTTGGGAAGTTTTTAAGAGCAGGTTAGACTAACACTTTTTGGGATTGTTTTAGACATGGATGATCCTTGCTTAAGCAGCAGATTGGACTAAGTGACCTCTTGAGGCCCTGGTTTCCTATTATTCTGTTGTTATAAAATGTGTGATGTCTAAAGCATGGATAATAGTAATGAGATCTACACTCCAAAGAAAAGGTCTCATATTTCAGGCAAGAAACAAATGGAAAAAAGGTGTTTGGTCACTAATGTAATATGACCATCTAAAACCACTGGGAATCTAGCAAAACTCTTAAGTCCTCATAAAGCAGGGATAAAGCATGTACTTCAAGCACATGAATATTACAACTGAGTTAAATGGAAACAATACTGTTTTTTCCAGCTCTGCTAGTTGTATTCTTAACTTATAATCCTCACTTCAGTCCTGTCTGCCTTGAACGTCAGCCTGTTTCCTCTCATTTCCTCCCCTCGGTCTGTACTATACATTGCTTAAGGAGCTCAACCCCTTTAGCTGTATTGAACAAGGCTGAGAGAGCAGGGAGTACACGCACTGAAAATGATACAACTCATTAGGGCTGTATACAATTTTGACAAGTGTTTCGTTTCAAAGCTGTTTCAACGTGTTTTGAGCTTGAAACAGTGAAACGGAAATGAAACAAAAGGCTTCGAAACAGTTTTGAAATTAAATGAGGACACTCAAAATGTTTTGAAAGTTTCAAAACGTTTCAAGTTTCAAAGCAGCCCAATGGCGGGAGGCAGGAGAGAGCCAGGGCTGCGCTCTAAGTGGCTCCACCAGCCCCATGGAGCTGAGCCCGGTGGCAGGAGGCATCAGGAAAGCCGGTGGCAGAGCTGCTC